TGGTTTACCCCCAGATGTGTGTTGCCAACTTGAGGCTGCCCTGGCCTCCCCATCCCCGCTCTGGGGTGGGCTGGGCCCTGGGCCCTCTGAGGGAGGGGACACATTTTTGTGGGCTACAGAATTTGTTTCTTCTTTCGCAGAACCTTGAGTCTTGTCTTGAGAGAGGCCCAAGTTCCGCCTGTCATAGGGCCTCAGTTTCCCCATCGGTGGGCCCCCCAGGGAGCCTCCAGGCCATCTGGGAGAAAGGAGACAAGCAGGGCTGTCCTAGGAGCCGTCAGCACCGACAGGGAAACAGAGGCACGGGCATGCAAGCATGTGTATCTGAGTGCTGGGCCCAGCTGTTGCTGTCGGCTGGTTCTGCAGAACTTCCAGAACTTAAATGACCCTCCGGGTTGGGGAGGGTGTCCTGGGCAGTCTGTTGTACAGATGGGGAAACTGAGGCTCAGGCAGGGAGAGGCAGAGCAGGGATCCGAACTGGGCTGTCTGGAGTCCATGTGCTGCAGTATTCAGATGCATGCCCTTCCCCAGTGAGCGGGCCGCGCCCACATCTGCCCATGTGACTTCACAGCGTGGCTCGCTCTGCCTGTGGACAATGACAGCCCTTCGAAGCCCTCCCCTGGCATTCCTGTGGTGCTGGGTGGCCCCCTTTGGACACTTTCTGTAGATGGGGAAACTGGGTACGGTAGGACCAGGGACATGTTCAGAAGTGAGGTAGAAAGGAAGAAGGGTGCACAGGGAGGGAGGCACCAAAAGTGTGGAGACCGAGGCCTCTGTGAACAGAACGATCGAGATAACCCAGCCAAGACGGCCCCTCCAGAAAGCCCTCTCCAGAACAGACCGGCATGGACATAGCTGTGCTGCAGGGCTGACAAAGAGGGGTGGACCTGTGGCCAGGGCGCCAAGATGGGGAGCAGAGAAGGCTCCTGGAGGAGGGGCTTTAGTAGCTAGGGCTTTGAGGGATAAGTAGGAGTTTGCCCAAGGGGGAAGAGCCTCAATTCCAGACTTCCCCAGACTAGAGGGATGAGTGGATTGAGGGACCTTCCTGTCCCTGGATGCAAGCAGAAAGCAGGTGCCTCCCTGAGGCCAGGAGCTCTGCAGGATGGAGGCTGTTAACCTGGGAACAGGCAGGTCCCTGGGAAATTGTGAAAAGGCGGAGCCCCGGGGCGTTGCCTCCAGACCAGGATAATGAGCAGCTTTTCCTGGCACCACCAAGGAAGCTGCCAGAAACACCCACACACCCTCACCCTGATTGTCTGCTCCTTGGATGCTTAGAAGGACCTACCTGGTTGTGTGACTTTGGGCTATCATCACCCCTCTGAGCTCGATTCCCCTCGCTCCCCGCCCAGCCCTGGGGATTCTGTGGCCTCCAGATAGAGGGGGAGGGCCAGCCTCGATCCCTCTTGCTGTAGATCAGACTGGCCTGGCCCCCAAGAAGGGCGGGTGCTCCCTTCCCTCGACAGTGAGGACTCTCCAGGATCTGGCCGTGCCTGAGGGTTGGGAAGGGAACCGGCCAGCCCTCTGGGCAGAGTGAGTGGCCCCTGAGATGCTAGCCGTGTGAACCTTGGCCGGGTACCAGTGGTTCTGGCAGGTCAGTTCTCGCCTGGGTCCTTGTGCCTCCTCCACTGCCGCTTGCCTCACTCGCAGCACACATGGGATCTTTGTGGGATCCCATGTGGGATCTTTGCAGTTAAAGACCCAATCATGTATGTGTCCCCATGTATGTGAGCATGTAGCCAGAAGGCAGAACATGGTTGTGTTCAACTGTGATCATGTTCAAATGCCATATAAAATGCCCATGTGTGAACGTGTATGAGAGTGAAACACACTAGCATGTGCATGTGGTAGTGTGCACATGTCATAACGCACAAGTCTAAACATGCCCAGGTGTGTGTGTGAGACATTAGTGTGAGTGTGAAACGTTAGTGTGTGGGTGTGGCAGTGCTTAAGTGTATGTATGTGATCGTGTTCAAGTATGTGAGTGTGAAAACATGTGTGTGACTCTTCGAAGATTAAGGGCAGACACATCCAAGACTGTGATAATTTGAGTAGGAATATGAAAACACCTAGTGTGTGAGTGTGGTAGTGTTTGGGTGTAAGTGTGAGAACTCTGACGTGTGTGTGTGTGTGTGAGACAGTGCTCAAGTGTGTGAATGTGAGGGTTTCAATGTGTGTGAAAATGTCCAAGTGCGTGGTTGTATGAAAACACTGAGTGTGTAAGTGGGATCGTGTCTGAGTGTGTGAAAATGTCATGTGTGAGTGGGATACAGTGTGTGCAAGAGTAAGAATGCTGGGTGTGAGTGTGAGGGCATCCACCTCCCTGGATCTCCAGGCCTCCATTACACAAGCACGCCTGGCCCCTCCCCTGTGCCCTCCACCACACCCACATCACCCCCTCCCGGGCAGTCTCTGCCAGAGACAAACCAGTTGGGTGACCCCCTTACAGAAAGATCCATTGTTAACCAATGCTTATCAGCTGGCTTGCTGGGCCCCCTCCATGGTCAGCCCCCCTGCTTCCCTGTCCCCCATCAGAGCCCTGGTGGGGTCTAGCGTTTCAAGGCCATGGGGAGGGGGGGCTTGGGAGGGGACTCCTGTGGCCAGGCCATCTCTTGGCTGGTGTTTCATCCATCCGTCCCGCCCCCACGTAAGCCCTTAGCAGAGACAGAGGACCACAGCCTGGTGCTGTGCCCTGCCTTGTTCCAGCCTAACGGGGAAACTGAGGCACACTATTCCAAGAATTGGGCGTGAGAGCAAGCAGGAAGTAGGGATCAAGAGAAAGCCATGCCCAGCGGAGGACTTTTTTTTTTTAATCCTCAACCCAAGGGTATATTTTCCCCCACTGATTTTTAGGGAGAGTGGTAGAGAGAGGGAAAGAGAGAGAAACATCGATGTGAGAGAAACACATCGACTGGTTGCTTCTTGCATGTGCCCGTCCAGGTACGCGGTACGTGCCCTTGATTGGAATCGAACCCGGGACCTTCAGTCCACAGGCCAATGCTCTATCCATCCAGAGGTCCTGAGCCTGGGTGGGTTTCCCTGCTGTTTCTCCCTGCCAACTCTGTGACCTTGGGTAAGTCATGTGACTACTCTAGGCCTCAGTTTCCCCATCTGAAGTGGGGATAAAGTCTCTTTGTGAGGTTGAAATGACTTAATATGCATTGATTGTAGAACAGGATCTGGCATAAAAGGGGGTGGTTTGGGCACCTGACAAATGGGCTGACCTCTGTTTGCTGCACAACCTTGAGAATGAAATATTCTCTCTGCAGCCCACAAGTTCCGGCAGGATCTACCCTGTCACCGGCCACTCCCCCCCCCCCCACCCCTCCGCCTCATTCTGCTACAGCCACAGGGGGCCTCTCCTGTTCCTTCACCAGCCAGGCCTGTCCTGCCCCAGGGCCTTTGCAAGTGGTGTGTCCTCTGGTATCCAGGTGTGCCCCCAAGTCTAGGAGCTCATTCTCTGCCACCATCAACAGTAACAAACACTGTGATGTAAAATAGTGGCAGGCCGGCCCCTGGGGTGGCTCCCTGACATCTGTTCCTCAGCCACGAACGTGTGTTGTGTCTGCCTTTGAATTTCAGGTCCTTTTCTAGCCAAATGCCCCTGAACAAGCCCCTCTATCTGTTTTGTGCCTCAGTTTCTTCAGCTGCAAAATGGAGATAACAGTGCTCTCGGGGCTCAGCACCCGACTTGGTATCGTGCCGGAGCTTAGCCGGTGCCCACTGTCACGTCCCGTGGCTGTGGGTCCTGTGCCTTTGCGCCCATGCGAAGGGGGAGAGCTCTGCGCTCTGCCGAACCCAGCACGGCCGGGCCTGCGCGAGGCCCATGCAAATGAAAGACAAACGCACAAAGCAGATGCTCTCTGGGTGAGCAGCCTGCGCTCCGAGGTGTGCGCTTGGGGGCGCCCGGCACCCTGTGGCCGAGCCCAGGCGCTGACCCGCGTCCAGCCCGGCTTTCAGCGCGCTGTGTAAATGTTTACACCGGGCCTCCAGCCAGACCCCGTGCGGGGCCGGCACAGGCAGCCGGGTGGGGGAATGTAAACGCAGGCTTGGGGCCGCCAGGCAGCAGGGAGCTGCTCAGACATGGTTGAGGGGATAGGGGTGTAGGAGGGTTCTAAACGCCTGCCGTATGCACTAAGCCCGAATGAAGCTCCTGGTAGTCACAGCGCCGAGTAATGGGTGTTCTAACGGGTGGGGGTGAGGGGGCACTTAGGGCTTGGGGTGTGGGGAGCAATCAGGGAAGGCTTCCTGGAGGAGGCACTGGCCCAAGGTGAGACTGAAAGGGGAATGGAAGAGCAGGAGAGAGAACGTGTTCTGGGTGGAAGGACCGTCTGTGCGATAGCCTGGACGTGGGTGGAGAACAGCTTTGGTTCATCGCAGCACCCTTCTGGGCATCAGTTTATCTGTCTGGAGGGTAAGCCCAGGCTCTGAAAGGGCAGCAAGTCACTCCCAAGAGCATCCTATGTAGGGAACAAAGTGTCACCTCCACGGTTTCTGCCCCCCAGGCTGTATTCTAATACCAGGCCTCCTGGTCACCTGGTCCCACAATGCCCCCTGTTGGGAATGGCTTCACTTTTCCATCTTCCCCGAAACACACTGGGCTCCAGCTACCCCAGCCCTGGCTGGGTTGGCCAACCTTGGTTCAGCCTCGGTTCCTTTGCACTGGCTGTTCCTCCTGAGGCTCCACTCCCTTCTGCCTGGCCAACTCCTACTTTTGTTCACATCTCGAACTGCCCTCAACCCTCAAGAAAGCCCTCTGGGACCCCCAGAGGGGGCGGTCCCCTGGCGCCCCTGGCACAGCGCCCGCACCTCCTTAGCAGCAGTTCTTCCCGGCCATGACCTGTGGCTCCTTGCTGAATCACGCCCGTCATCACTGAGCAGTAAGCAGTAGTGGTCCAAAATCGTGGGCCCACTGTGTCCCCAGTGCCTGGCCCGGGGCCCTGTACCTGTTTGTTGCCTGGCCCACCGAGGCCGTGTGGCTGACGCCCCGTGCCCGCAGGCCGAGGATGCAGCGCTGGAAGGCAGCAGCCTTGGCCTCGGTGCTCTGCAGCTCCGTGCTCTCCATCTGGATGTGTCGGGACGGCCTACTCCTCAGCCACCGCCTCGGACCCGCGTTAGCCCCGCTGCGCCGGCCACCTCGAACCCTGGACGCCCGGATCGCCCGCCTGGCCCAGTGTAAGCCCTTCCCCTGACTTAGGGACGGCCATACTGTGGAATGTCAGGCAGTGGAACCAGGCACGGAAGCTTTTTTAAAGATGGGGTGGAGGGAGGATGCAAATCTCCCAGTGACAGTGGGGGGGGAGGGGATGGCTCCTAGGAGCTGGGGTCTCTTGGCTTAGCTGTCACAAGGAATTAGACTCTGTCCCTCAGGAGCCAGTGGGCCAGATGGAGATTAGACCTAGGAACTCTGGTGGGGGGGCCGCCCGCAGCACAGAGGGGGGCGGGAGGGGGAAGCTGGACCTAAGGCCCCAGTGACCTGCATGTGTTGACAGGGAACAAGAACCGGGAGACAGAGAGAGACCTAGAAACGGAGACCTAGACATGGGGAAAGAGACAGAGACAGAGACAGGCGGGAGAGACGTGGGGAAGAAAGTGAAACTCCTATCTGAGGAGAACTGCTCACTGGACCCTGGTGCCTGCCTTCTGTAAGTTCTGCCTGGGCCCCCACCTGTGTGCGCGCACACATGACCACGCAGTGTGGCACAGGCACAGGCAGGGCACATGCGTGGCGCCTGCACACGCGCCCCGCCAGGCCTCACAGCCCTTCTTTCTTGTTCTCACAATAGACAAGGGTGGCCTCCGGCACAGACTTCACTTCTGTGCCCAACACTAGCCCTTGTAGGCCCCCGGAAGCCAGCGTCCCAGGACCTGGGGACAAAGCGCCCCGGGTGGGATCCACCGAGAAGTCTCAGCCCGTGGGCGGTGCCGCCAGTCCTGTCCCTGGGCCCAGCTGTGCCGGGGGAAGGGAGTGGCTGTGGATCCCCTCGAGGTCCTGGGACTCATGTGCTGAGGGTGGAATTTCAGGCTGAGGGACGGGGAGCAGATCTCATCTCTCTGTGCTCCAGACCCTGTGCACGGGGCCTGGGCAGCTGGAGGGACGCAGGGACAGATAAATTAAAAGATTATTCACTGTTTATTTGAAATTCAAATTTAACTGGATATTTGTATCATCTGGCAACCCCACAGAGAACTCTCTACAAGCACACCTTGAGGTGTGCACTCTAAGTGGAGGCGGTTTAGGCACCAGAAGTGAGTCAGGCTCAAATCTAACTCCAGAGCAGACAGTGCTGGCGATCCCAGCCGGGCCCCTGGGCTGCAGGAACTCGGAAAAGGCTGCTCCTTCATCCCTCACCTCCCACTCTCCCAGCCACAACCACAGCGAGGACTCTGCGAGCCGCGCGCTGAGCAGAAAGGGGTACTGGCAGGGGCGGGCCGTCCCCTCGCTGACGCTGAACAAGAAGCGTGGCAGAGCGAGGCTCAGAGCCTGGGCTTGTCTGCTTTCTGAGGCCGGCTGTGGAAACAGACACTCTCAGGGTCACAGACGGTCTCTCCCCCTCAGGCTTCCCAGTAAGATACTTCTTTTGACAGCCAGGTGTGCCAGCCTTGGGGGCAGGCACGGGCTAAACTCAGGATTTCCTCTCCCAACCTGTGACTGCAGCCTGTCAGAGGCTGGGAGCCTGCTGCCAGCCATTCCAAAGTCTGCCCTTCTTTCCTGGGGCTGCGGAGCACAACAGATCCTGGAATAAAGTCATTTCCTTGAGCCTAGTTTTGTTCCAATGACGAGATGCCGTAAGAACTTTTACATTAATTAGCCTTTGGTAAAACTGGTTTCATTCTTTGTCATTTCGCCGGAGTTCCAAGAACCTACCGATGATGTTAAGTAAGAACTTACTGTGCTGGGGCAGGGCCAGCCTCTTGGAAAATAAGTTTAGTCTACGGGATCCTGGGATTCTGTGACTCTGGCACCTCCCGAGGGCAGCCGTGGGAGAAAAGGGCTGAACGTGGGCCAAACGTGGGTACTGGATGGAGGCAGGAAAAATGCTCGCCGGGTTTCTCGCTCTCACTGCCACCTGCCAGTGGTGTGGCCTTGGCCAAGTCTGCTATTTTGAGTACCCAGTTTCCTTACCTATAACATGGGAGTGGCCCTGACAATAGCTGCTGCCACCCCATGGGGTGGGGTCCCCACCCCACACAGGCCTCAGGGCCTGCTGCTCTTCTGTGTGTTCTGAGAAGCCCGAACACCCAATTTGGGTTTCTGTATAGGGAAATTGAGTCCCATTGCACAGTAGAGCAACAGGTATGGGGTGGGGGGTTGTGAGCAGCTCAAGGGCTCCCAGATGTTGGGGCTTTGATTAGGGACCCCAGAGTGAAGGAGAGACCCATACAGCTCAGCTAAAGGGTGGGAAGTTGGGGGGGGGGGAGAGTATGGGAAGAGAAGCCCAGCATAGGGATGGGATTCACAGAAAGTGTTGGGGGCGGGGCTCAGACACTGTGAGCTCAGCTCAGTGGGGCAAGCTGGAAAGTGGTCCAGGGAATGCAGAAACATAGGGCGGGGTCCAAAGAGGGATGATGGTAACTTTGGGGGCCCAGCGCAGGGGTCTGCATATGCACCCCTCCAACACCTTCCAGCGGGAGCGCCTGGGCAGGAACCTGGGTCATTTTCTGCAGGGGAACAGCGAGGGTAGAGGACTCCCTCCCACCCACTGATTCCCATCCCTTCTCTCCCTCCCCTCGCAGACCGTGCACTGCTGCAGGGCGCCCCGGACGCCGTGGAACTGCGCGAGCTGACGCCCTGGGCGGGGCGGTCCCCCAGCGCGCGCCGTCGGACTGGGCCCCGGCGGCGGCGCGCGCGTGCGCGGTCGGGGTCGCGGCCATGCGGGCTGCGCGAGCTCGAGGTGCGCGTGAGCGAGCTGGGCCTCGGCTACACGTCCGAGGAGACGGTGCTGTTCCGCTACTGCGCAGGCGCGTGCGAGGCGGCCACGCGCGTCTACGACCTGGGCTTGCGGCGCCTGCGCCAGCGGCGGCGCGTGCGGCGCGAGAGGATTCGCGCGCAGCCCTGCTGCCGCCCGACGGCCTACGAGGACGAGGTGTCTTTTCTGGACACGAACAGCCGCTACCACACGGTGCACGAGCTGTCGGCGCGAGAGTGCGCCTGCGTGTGACCCTACCTCACCGGTCCCGGCCGGACAGCGCCAACAGCTCCAGCCGTCAAACCTCGCGACGGGCTGCCCATGCGCAGACGACGCCGTCGAGGTTTCGGGACTCTCGCGATAACTGTACAGAGATAAAGTGTGGAAAGCTGCTGTGGGTCTCGATTGCGCGCACCTAGGGTGTCTGCCTCCGGGAGGGGCCGGAGGACGTGTGAGGAGGTGGCCCCAGCTCCCCTGGGAAAAGGGGGTGGGTGCGGGAGTCACCTGCAGCCTGGTGGGGAGATTCTTCAGGGGGAAAGGAAAGATTGAAAGAGGGCCCCGTGTCCAGAGTACAAGTGGGGAAATGGGGTTAATTGGGGCAGTGTCGGCAGGGACTGCCCTTTCACCTCCCTGCAGGTCCCTCTGCTCCTCCCCAGCATGTCTATCCCAGCCAGATGTGCTTCTGGGGAGCGAAAATGGATCACAATGTAGAAGAGGAGGCAGGTCAGCTGGACCCAGTGTCCCCAACGTGTCCCCATTCCTACGTCCACACCATGTGCTTCTGGGGAGGGAGCAGGGAGAAGTGAAGTTGGTGGAGGAAGGTGGAGTCGCCTGCAGAGGAGGAGACTGAGGTCCAGGTGGACCTGGGCCTCTCTAACCCAAACGGGCACCCGCAGGCTGGATCAGCCCCCACGAGAGTGGCCTCTAAGCCACTATCTCCTTTTACCAGCTAAAAATACGCACGCGCTACCCATCTCCCTGTGGGGATAAATCTGGAGAGGGCGCCAGCCCCATCCAACCCCAAACTGGCGCCTGTTGGGGCAGAGCTGGTCCCGAGGGATCTAGGTCCTGGCCCATAAAAACCCTGGCCCGAGTTGGAGGGGGGATTTATGACGAGCCCCCGTGGAGGATGGAAAAAGTGCTGGGCAGTGTTTAGATTTGCCTGCAGTGTCACCTTGATGTTTGGCAGGCCGAGGAAGGGCACGGGGGTTTTGAATTCCCAGAGCTGGGGGAGGGATCAGTGGGTCACATGGTCTGAAGAGGGCCGGGTTGGGGGGGGGAGGGTAGATGCTGCACGCTGAGGGCTGGCACCCAAACGACCAGAGGGTGTGGACCCTTCCCCTCCAGCCCCACAGGCTGGGGGCTCCCAAGGGAACATCCCCTTCCCTCCTTTGCTGTTTCTCTAGACGGGCCCCCTCCCTCCCTTCCTGCACATCTGAGCTCAGGACCATCCTCTAACCCCCCACATCCATTCCAGACACAATCCATGTCCAGAAGCTGGAGGGCTCGAATCAGAAGCTGCCCCCAAGAAGGATCACCTGGTCAGGCAGGCACATCCCCCAGCTACCTGCCCCCCACCCAGGGCCCTGGTTGCAACTAGAGAAACCTGAGGCAGCTAACGGGAAGGACTTACATGGAGCTCCAAGAGCAGTCGGGCCCCACCCAGCCAGTGGGTGGTCTGTTTGGAAGGCAATTTCAGGAGGAGGCTGGCTGGGGTCCCTGCCTGCCCCCGCAGTATTCTGACTCTGAGGTTTGAGGTGGTGTATTTCTCCTCTGTTTGGGCTGACTCAGCCCAGTGTGGCAGAGGCTGGCGTTCCCAGACACTGCAGAAGCTGAGCCTCAGTTTCCCCATTGTAGATGGCTCTGAGCTTCAAAGAAGGATGTTGCTGAGCTTAGGACATACAGCAGGCTGGGTTTGTCACACACACACACACACACACACACACACACACACACACGCCCCCAGCCTCCTGGGACCTCAGTCTCCCTGTCTCCCACCCAGATCCAGCATCCCAACCACAGAGCTCTGGCTTAGCCCGCCGAATAATTGAAATGTAAACAGAGCTGCCTTCACAGACCCCTGGGGCAGGGGTTCTCAACTCATCACACACACACACACACACACACACACACAGGGCTTAGCAGACAGGATCACACGTAGACCTACAGCCCACATGCTTACACACTCAGTTGTCACTCACACTCAGAACTGCACACTCAGAGAGGGGCACCTTCAAAGTCACCACTCATTGGAAAATAGAAGGACACAAGCCCTAGCGAGTTTGGCTCAGTGGATAGTGTCAGACTGAAGGGTCCAGGTTCGATTCTGGTCAAGGGCACGTACCTTAGTTGCAGGTTCCCCTGCCATGGTGGGGGTGCGTGCAGGAGGCAACCAACTGATGTGTCTCTCTCACATCGATGTTTCTGTCTCTCCCTCTCCTTCCACTCTTTCTAGAAAACATCAATGGAAAAATATCCTCTGGTGAGGGTTAGCCAAAATAAAAAGGACACAGGATCACACATGCTGTCACACACTCACAGCCACGCTTACCCTGCTGGCCGTCATGCTCCAAGCCCTGCGTGATCACGTGTCACACACACAGCATCACACTCTTTTCCCCTTGCACTCCTTTGAGGGGTGGTCCCTGCCCTTGTGCCAGCCCTGCCCACACTAACCCCAAGACAGCCTGGCCCCTGCTTTCCAGTCCCTCTGGGCCTGGCTCTGCCCTCTCTGCCCGAGGGGCTCGCTCTCAATGGGTTTTACACTCTTGACATGTGTAGCCCGCCACGGGAGCCATGCAGGCTGCTGAGCAGCATTCCTGACTCCTACCCGCTTGATGCTATCGGCCCACCCCAAGTCTTGACAACTACAAATGTCTCCAGACCATGCCGAGTGTGTGTGTGGGGGGGTGAATGGGGGTGGGGGGAGTTGCCCTGGGGTGAGAACCACTGTTCTAGAATAGGGGAGGACACATCAGTTTTTATCAGAATGTTCCCATCTGGAAAATGGTACCAATGTTGACTGCCTGCCCGCCTGCCTGCCCCACAGGCAGTTACCCAGCTGCACGCAGACCCAGCAGGGCCTCGGTAGTGAGCTCCTCAGTGGGTGAAGTCTGCAGAAGCCAACATTTCCAGCAGCTGAGACACTCCCCCCTCTCCCCCACCCCCGCGCCCCACCTCGCTAAGGCCCCGGGCAGGTTAAAGCCCGAAGCCCAGGTTCTTGGCAGCAGTGGTGCCCGGTGCCCGGTAGGTGAAGTCCCAGGTAAGTGAGATCAACAACCAAGGTCTCCAGGAGGTGAGATTCCTAGGAGGTGAGGTCCCCAGCATGTGATACACCCTTTCCGCATCCCCGTGGGGGAGGCCCCTGTCAGGTGAGGTTCCTAACAGCACAAGTGGCTGGCAGGTGAGGCCCCAGGCTGGTCGGCTCCTGTGAACCTAGAAGCTTTGCTGGTCACTGTCTGGTAAGTGGACTCCTGCTACAGCCGCCAGCGGGCCTTGCACACCCCCAGGGCCCAGCTGAAGGGTCACGGCTGCAGCCTCTCCCGCCAGTGGCAGTAGCTCAGGTGGCCAGTGTGGTCTCTGTCCAGACCCAGCAGATCCTGAGCCGGCTCCTTGGGGCTCTGGAAGCTGTCCATGTGGACGAAGGTGTTGGGTGGCAGAAACTGTTCGCGGTTCCTCCTGCTAGGGCCAAACACCATGGGCCCACGCAGGGCATGCTTCCCCAGCTTCTCTGGTGCAGTTGGGGTACAAGTTCTGCAAAGCCAGGTAACACTGGTACTGGGACAGGCACTAGGTCATGAGTGAGTGCCTGGGGCAGTAGCTTGTGGGAGTGCCCATCCATGTCCACTTCGAGATGAATTTAAAGCATCTGGTTGAATCCTTCCTCCAGCTGGACACTACCTTTGGCCACCAGCTCGGTCTTAGCTGAGAGGTTGACCGGTGTGTTGGCTGGCTGGCCAGGCCATGACTCCAGCCAGCCATACCATCCGAAATTGTCCGAGTGTCTGCAGTAGGACGTGGGAGATTGAAGTACCCACTCAGGGCCTTCAGCTGTGGGCAGTGGCCAGGCGAGTTCATGTTAAGCCAGACACAGCACTGGCGGGGCGGCCTGAGGGGAGGCGGAAGCTGGGCCTGCGGTCAGCAGCTAACCTGTAGGATGCACGAGGGTGGTGCCCACCTGAGGGTACATGCTGTGGCTGGCGGCCGAGTGGCAGTCAGCTATGTCAGCCACAGCTCTGAGCAATGGGGTGCTGAATGTCCTGCAGGAGTGGGTGGGTGGGGGGCTCCCCCAAAGTGGCCTGGCTGGGTCTCCCCCCCACCCCCCCAGAGGATACTGGCTCTGCCCACCCATTAGGAGCTTGGTGAGAGAGTTCATTGTCGAATTAGGGGGCCACATGGGCTCAGGGGACGCACACAGGTAGAAGAAGCACAAGGCCAGAAGCAGCTGCTACAGCCCCCCAAGGAGCTAATGGCATCAGGGACATTGTGCTTTGCCCCGGTTGAACGGACCCATGGGTCAGAGCAGCTGGGACGAGGGAGAGTGGACACAATGTCACTGATAAAAATAACCTACGAGCCGAAACCAGGTTGGCTCAGTGGATAGAGCGTCCGCCTGTGAACTGAAAGGTCCCAGGTTCAATTCTGGTCAAAGGCATGTACCTTGGTTTCAGGCACATCTCCAGTGGGCAGGAGATCAGCAGGAGGCAGCTGATCGGTGTTTCTCTTTCATCGATGTTTCTATCCCTCGCCCTTCCTCTCTGTAAAAAAATCAATAAAATATATTTCTAAAAAATTAACCTATGCTGAGGGGGCACACGTAGGCTACCAACGTGAATGTTCCTGAGTCCTGAGGCAGGCACCGGTGTGATTCCTGTTTTACAGATGAAGAAACTGAGGCCAAGTGACTCAGAGTGAGGAAGTGGCGGAGCTGAAATTCCAACAAAGACAGTCTGACCGGAGTCCACTTCCGCCTGGCACTGAGGCAACATGGCCCTTCCTCCAGCTGGGGAGGGGTCCCCAGGGAAGGTGGGATAGGTCCCCACAGCTCCCAGGTCCCACCTTGACCCTGACCTTTCTCATCTTTCCCAGACTCCTCCCCCATCTGGGAGAAGACAGAGTTGGTCACAAGCGGCTTAAATCGGGGGCTTTGTCTGAGAGGGGCGCAGCGGGATGGGGTTGAAGGTCATGTAGGAACTCACCAGGTAGCATAGGAGTCAGGGGAAGAGTGTTCCTGGCAGAAGAAAACCAATGCC